TCAGACACCAAGAGAGAGGGTATGATCTCCACCCATTCCCAACGGAATGCAATCCTTTTCGAGGATCTTGTTATAAAAACCGGTAATATTATCCAGAGCTTTCTGGAGATCAAAGGGATTAACAGGTGCATCACCAATGTCAGCAACCTGCATAGATTGAAAAGGAGCTGCTCCAGTCACTCGACTGTATGGACCAATGAGACTAGAATGTTGCCTTATCGACGCTGGCCCATGCCTTGTTCCTGACCTCCAGGAAGTACCATGATCCATTGGGATTCCTACAAAGCAGGCATCAAGACCATCTGGGTTACCCTGTTGGATGGGGAGGCGTATCATGCTAGCAATTCCTCCATACTCAGGGACCACATCTTCAGGAAGAGGCTGGTTAAACTGTCTCTCTTTGGTAAGAAAGGCTGAGCTGCTGTGTAAGGATCTGACCTTGGGAACAGAAAAAGAATTTCTTGAAAGCTTGCCAAGAGAGAGCCTGATCATTGTTGTGCAGTCTAGCTACTGTTGACTGCTGATGCTACTGGCCTATTGTAAAAGTGGCTAAATGTTGCATGCATGCATTATTGTTGTGCTGACTCGGCTGTGTATCAACTACAATAGCATACACAAGCTAATGACGCTATACCTGCAGAATTAGCTCCAAGACTATTGACTGCCATAAAGGAATTCAATACTAAATCAACTCTGAACATCTGTTAAAAACACCATTCATGCATTTAGAGCCAAATGGTGTGATCGAACGATGCCGCATACATTGCTACACTGGCTTGTTAGTCATAGTACTATTGTTGGCATGTGACATGTTTATCACAAAATTGCTGACAAACAAAAATGATGTTTTCACATATCCAATTCATTCATCAACAATTCATAGACTGGACTAATAATAGTACACTTCCACATTGCTACAAAAAAACATAATTTAGATTTTTATCTTCTTAACTTGAATTTGAAATTGCAATGTGAGACATTATTATCTATAATGCATTCAATAGAAAATTAATTATGAATAGTCAATATAAGGAAGGAACTCTAAAATAAAATATATACAGTAGAAGTTGGTTTGGTTCTGCTTATTAGCAAATAGAATTTTGCATAGCAATTGACAAGCTAAAGTGCCAGTGTTCTCAACTGTCAGCAGTGTGAATAATGATAC